CATAAGCTCTCGGTGTACATAAAAGGACAAGATACATTCGTCAAGAATCATAAGGTACAACACTTAATGATAGTCAGAGGGTACAAATAAGCAATCAGGAAACTATCAATATCAATTGTAAGGATACAAGCCACAAAGACTAATAGAAATAGTGATGCAGCCTTAGTGAATGGTTTGACAGTGTTGAGGGAATTATTTGTTTAGCAGAGTGATGGCGTTCAGGGAAAAACTGTCCTTGTGTCTGTTTGTCTTGGTGTGCAGGGCTCAATTGCGTCGTTTTGAGGGTAGGGGTTGAAACAATTTGTGTCTAGGATCCGAGGGGTTCTGTAAATATTTTCAGTTTTGTGGGGAAGAGGACTGTGGGGTCCTTTATGATCTTCGAACTTGGTTGCTTTCTTACAGATGTTTCACGACCCAACTACGTAACGTCATCATTGTTAGAAGGCAGTGGGGTTTGTGGAGTGGAAGGAAAAGTGCAGGAGGTGGATGACCACAATGACAACTGTGTAACCTTCGCTGTCCTCTGAGCTTTGCTGTTTCCTTGCAGGCATTTCATTACCCAGCTAGATAACATCATCAGTGCTAAGAGGGGAGTGTGGCGTTTGCTCTCTATATACAGAGGCCTGCACCACCAGCTTAGACCCTCAATCAAATAGTAAACGGCAGCCTAATCAAGGAGCTACTAATGAGAAATCCACTCTCTCACCAACACTGACAAGGCAAGCCACCTTTGTACGAACAGAGAGCCGACCCCATTCTTTTCTAGTACTGATGATGTTGCCTAGATGGGTCATGAGATGTCTGCAAGAAAATAACCAAGCTCAGAGACCACCAAGAATGTCTTCTTTCAGATATAAGCAAAATGGAAAGTGTTCCCACTTCATTTTAGGCTCCCCGGGGAGAGCAAAGCATCCTGTCCATGTCAGGGTTCCAAATAGCATCCAAAAGTAAATCAGAATCCAAGGCAAAGTCTTGCTCAAAGTTCCAGTTTATTAAGAGAGCCATGTTG